AAAAGTCCTTTTGCACAAAACTTTTGCGCAAAAGGGCCAGTGTAGACAGCTCAGATTTGTTTTCCACAAAAAAGCCTCAATCGCGAAAATGGCGATCGGGGCTTTTTTTGCGAAAAAGCGCGTCTACATTGGCCACAGACGCTTTTCCAGAAAAGCATTCTGCCAATGTAGATGCTCTTTTTCAGAAAATGCTTATAACGGAAAACTGTTCTGTTTTAAGCATTTCTGGAAAAGGATGCCAATGTACACGTAGACGTGGTGCTGCTGTGACTTCCTGAAAGGCCCATATGGTCTTTGTAAATTTGTCCTTCCAAACTTTTCCTATAAAGTTCCTTAACTGGTCTGAGCAATTCCTCATTTTGTTTCTCTCTTGAACTTCCATTCAGTTCTTTGAGCAGGGAATGCTACAATGCCTGATATGTCCTGGATGAAGTAATTATCACTAAGGCAAATTTGTAACATTGCTATTTCCTGCAGTTGGGGCACTTAGCAGGTAACACGTTACCTTAATGAACCTTTTCCTATAAAGTTCCTTAACTGGTCTGAGCAATTCCTCATTTTGTTTCTCTCTTGAACTTCCATTCAGTTCTTTGAGCAGGGAATGCTACAATGCCTGATATGTCCTGGATGAAGTAATTATCACTAAGGCAAATTTGTAACATTGCTATTTCCTGCAGTTGGGGCACTTAGCAGGTAACACGTTACCTTAATGAACGGAACATAAAGACTCCTAGGCTGTGTCCAGACTCAGGGTTTTTTTCAGGAAAAGTAGCCTTCCCCTGCGTCCAGACTCAAGCCGCGTTCTTTCGAAATTATTTCGAAAGAACGCGGCTTTTCTTTCGATGGCGGTAAACCTCGTTTCACGAGGAAGAACGCCTTCTTTCGAAAGTTCCTCTTTCGAAAGAAGGCGTTCTTCAATGTAAATAGGGCTTCCTCGAAAGAGAGCATCCAGACTCGCTGGGTGCTCTCTTTCGAAAAAGCGGATTGCTCTTTCGAAAGATCCGCCTGCAGTCTAGACGCGATCTTTCGAAAGAGGCTCTTTCGAAAGATGCTTTCGAAAGATCCTCTTTCGAAAGAAGCCTGCAGTCTAGACATAGCCTAAGATACAAAGGACTCATGATTATAAGATGCAAGACATTGTTTGGTACAGGACGGTTTGGCCTCTAAATCACATGAAACCATTTGGCCTCTAAAACCATAATTACCTGCTAACAGCATAATAACGTGCACAGGGCAGGCTGCAGATGGGAAGTTGACTGATGGAGAAGTACAGCTGTCGATGGGCACAAAGCAGCCCAACAAACACCAGGCTCCCTTTTGTTATGTTGCAACCCGCACAGTGTGACGTGGAGGGTGATGAATTGTAAAGGAAATCGCTGTGCTCAGTCAGTTCGTTGTAAAATACAGTCAAGAGATCACATGGCCAATGTCAGTCACATCGTTTGCTGTAACCCAGCAACAATACGGCGCAAGAAGAAGGGAAAAAGTGACGGGATGAATCAGTTGATATTTATCTGCTCTGATAATTCCCTCAGAAGCACCTGATGTTGGCCAGTGCTGGGAGACAGGGTCCTGGGGCAGCTGAACCATTGGACTGGCCTAGTCTGGCCATTATTAAGTTCCAAATCCGAGAGCCGCCCATT